AACATTTAATAAGATAAAATTTTAATTTTTAAATATAAATTAAGACTTTAATTGTTTTTAAAAGTTAGAATTGATACCCACTAATATCTTTATTTATGATTATTAAAAAATTTTATTTAATATAATAATTAGTATTTATGTTTTTATTTATACATGTTATGCATTTCAAAATTACTCATTGGATCCTCAAATATTTGAATTTGGTTAAAGACTTAATAATTTTTAAACAATTTCTCTAATATATATTTAAGGTTAATGCGGATTAGTTTTGACTTTTAAAAATAAATAGAGTTTTAATTTATATTTAAAAATTAAAATTTCATCATATTAAATGTTGATATTTAAATTAAAAAAATTATTATATATTTTAATATATCAATATTCAATAATATAATTTTTTAAATTTTAAATTAAATTTTAATAAAATAAAATGACCTAATTTACATTAGAGATTCTAATTATTTTAAAAAATCATGATTGATATATATATTTTTATAAATAAAATAAGGTAATTAAATTATATTAAAAAAATATGAATATCAATTAAAAATTAATTCACAATAAATAAAATGAAGAAAACAGAATAGCAGATTCACTTAAAAAAATTACAATACAACTTTAATGAAACATGGATTTCTCTAGTCTTTCACTTAAGGCATATTTTTAACCCATCACCCGAATAAATTTGAAAAGTTTAACTTTTCACTTTATTCTATAAAATTTTTTATTTTTGAACTTAAAAATTTAAAAATTTAAACTTTTAAATTAACAAAATCCATAAACTTCGTTAAGCTGAGAATAAAATATTTATAAAAATAATCGTTAAATATTAAAAATATAACAACTTAATTTCAAAATTTAAAAATTTAAAAAATTAATGGATATCTTTATTACGTATATGAAAACAATATTAGATATTTATAATAAAATTAAATTATTAACTTAATTTAAAAAAATATAACTGAAATTAAAGAAAATTTTTTAGTTATATTTTTTTAGTTTTTTAAACTTTTATTTTAACTCAGGTAATAATTTTTTTAAAAATTTTAATTAGAATTCCTTCTTCAAATTAAACTACTTGCTTGATTTATTATAGATATCTAATATTGTTTTTACATATGTGATAAAGACATTTACTAATTATTTTTAATTTAATAATTTTTTTAAATTTTAAAGACTAAATTGTTATATTTTTAATTTTTAAATATTGATATTATAAATATTTTATTGTTAACATTTTACATTAACAAAGACTAAATGATTCTATCAATTTAAAAATTAAGATCTTTAAATCTTTAAGTTAAAAATTAAAAATTTTATATACATAATATAAAATTTTAAGGGCTAATCTATGTTTTCTCCTCCAATCAATCCAATGTTGCACGGTCCTCATCTTCAATCGATTTACAATTCACAATTAAGAGATCTAGAGCACCTATGTTTTGTTTGAAATGATTCTTATCATCCTTGGGAATGCTTAAAAATCTTGTTTTTCAAAATTATAATTGGCTACGAGGAAGAGGTCGACTCAATGGCATCAAAAGCGAGGTGGGTCGTGGTTTTTTTATTTTTATTTTTTAGAATTTGTTTGCTACTATAGGAATCATTTTGTTAAAAGTACTGGAAAAAATCGTTTTTCATTATGTTATTGAGCTACGACTACGCCGACTAGTGGAAGGGGAGAAGGGGCATGTCTGCCGACAAAATGGGTACGATTGTTTTAGCTGAAGAATATTAAAAACCTCTTTTTAGAAAAACGATAGCTTTTCATTGAAATCGTCCTGCGATTTTTTTTTGCAAGTAGACCTGCTTTTCTGTTTCCCCCTTTTAAGCACACCTTTTTTTTTTTTTTTTTAATGTAAATCTTTCCATGAATATATTCATGGTTAAAAACATAATGTCCATTTTGATCCTTTGAAAACATCAACTTCCTATAGAAAAGGGTTATGTTTTACCAATCAAATTGTGTTGGAATATAAACAAGAATTATTGAATGAAGAGGGAGGTATTAATATTAAAGAGTTCATTTTTATTTAATAGTTAAAATTATATAATTTAAAATATTTTAAATTGTTTAGTATTTTTCATATTTTTAATTTATATTAATAAATTGTCTACGTTTACACGTGAACAAATCCCCTTAAAGTTGGAGTTAATGGATTCCCACTAAAGCAATGTGTGCTGATAAGAAAAAGAAAAAACCTAAGGCAATGTAAGCTCCTCGTTTAAATTGACCAAAATGTTGCGTTTAATTAATTACTAGTTAATCCGTTAAATGAAAAAAAAATTTATTTAAAAATTTAATATAAACTAATATGTTAATAAAATATTATTAAAATACATATATAATGTTATATAAGGTTAGTAATATTTTTTTTATTAGCAAAAAAAAAATGTTATTAAAAAGATGTAAAGAATACCTTAAATTTGTTTATAAAATTATTATGAAATAAAAACTTAAGTTTAGTATTGAATTAAGATAGTCATATCTAAATATCTAAAAATCCTTCTGCTAGCATGATTCCTTTCCACACCATTATGCAAGAAATAATTCTCATTTTTTAAATAAGTTCGTTTAATCATATAAAAGGTATGTGCAGATGAAAATGTTTTGTATGCACTTCAGCACACTTGCTTAGACACAAACAAAGAGAAAAGAACAATATATATATGAGATCTATTAGTTTTTTACTTTTTTTTCTTCATTTTACATATCACAAGTCAACATTTTATTTACAACAACAGCTGCTTTAGTAGAGACAAAATGTACCATGCTTATCCTTTTATTACCAAAATTCTCTTCTACCACCTTCACTATTTCTCACCCTTTCTTTATTCCCTTGACTGAACATGTATCTAAACCTTAAATCTAT